CCTTTTCTCTGTGGGTGACTCTTGGCTCCCTGAGAAGATACTTTACATCCTATACCCTCAGGAAAAGAGGCAGGCAGTCGCTCAAGATGGAAGAGGGTTAGTTTTACTGTGCTGCCCCCTAGTGCCAGGTGTGATTACACTGGCTTTCTGTTTGCTAATACAGTATGGAAACCACATGAAAGGAGTCAAACCTGGAGAAGCACAGTTTTGACCACTGTTCCTGCATTTTCTCTCACATAGCATGGAATGAAGTAAATCCGCTTCGCATGATTCGCAGCATCCTCCGCTATCCACCCCTGCCTAGATTTTCATCTTAATCTTCTGCTTCTTTTCCCCATGCACCCTGGACTTCAGCCATTCTAAACCACTTGCTATTCCTGCCTGGAAAGCCTTCTCCTTCCTCCGCACCCATCCGCATTTCTATCAGCTGTGTAAAGAATTCCCACTCTTCTTTCCAGTATCAGCGGAGGCCTTACCTCTCCCCCGGGTCTGCCTAACTCCACAGAAAACTTAGGCAGTCCGTGCCCTCTCCTCTGCCCTTCCCATGTCCTTGAGCACGTCTCTGCCTGTCGTCCTTTTGCTCCACCTTGTATCTTGACTATTTGTTTAAAGAGTTCAGAACCCTTCTCCTGTGCAATTTGTATGTTTTAAGCCTCAGACAATTCCCAGTACAAGTAGACACTCAGTGGAAGGAATTCCAGTAAGGATGTTTTGACTGGTAATACTAGGAAGGGCCCTAACACAGGAGTCAGGAATTTCTGATTAATTAGACAGGTAGCTAATCACGAGCAATTTACCCATCTTCTCTGGGTCTTTGCTTCCTTATCTGTAAACAGACTATGTCTAACACCTGCTCAAAAATCCAATGATTGCACCTTTTCATTAATACCTTCCTTAAGAACCTCAAAATACTTTATGATGAAGCAGGTCAACACCCCAGGTGTTCCTTTTTAATTCTCAAAGAGGTGCTTGTGGAAAGCAAACTCCAGTTGCATTCAAAAGTATTTTATTTGCAAGTCTGTCGTAAAGGAAGAATTTCTAAGAAACAGTTGGGAGGGTAGGGGAAGGAGAAACAAGAATCAAGTTATATCACGTACAGGTACAAATTCTCTACGATGAATGTGATCATTGTGTATATCTAAAATGTACCAATAAAATCTGATTTTAAAAAGGAAAAAAAGAAAAAGCAGGGTTACATTCAGACATTTTAAATAGAGTTAATCTGAGACAAAGTTTTTAAAGCAAATTACTCTTTTTTTCAATGATACAAAGAAAGGTTGAAGTTCTATCTTGAAACTTCATCAAGAAACTGCTCTAATTCTGACTCTCACTGGCACAGAACTGGCTGACTTACCCTCCAAGTACCTGCACTTCTGTTTTTCCCAGCAGAAATGAGTGTTAAGGGTGTAAATCTTTGACAGTGGAATTTGCTATGGAATTATCACTAAAAGCCCTTATACCTAAAGAGGACTCTGATAAAGGTGATGATAGAGATAGAGAGAGAGAGAGAGAGAGAGAGAGAGAGAGAGAGAGAGAGAGAGAGAGAGAGATGATATAGTGGCTCACGCCTGTAATCCCAGCACTCGGGAGGCTGAGGCAGGAGGATCCTTGCGAGTTTGAGACCAGCCTGGGCTACAAAGGGAGCTCAAGATCAGCCTGAACTGCATAGTGAGACCCTGTCTCAAAAAGACAAAAAAAAGAAAGAGATAGAGATGATAGAGATAGATAGAGGTATATGGAGAGGGACGGGAAAGGGAAAGAGAAATGAAAGAGAAAGGGAGAGGGAAGAAGCAGTCTTCAATTGACCTCGGACACACGAATACAATTTACAAAAGCTTCTCACTTCATAGGCCAGTGTTGGGGATATTTTCTGCTATAGGTGCCCACCTAAAGTTCCCAGTAAGACTGGTAGCCTGACATTTCCAAAAGCAGCCCCGATACAGTATACAATATGAAATGGTTTTAGTAAGAGAAACATTCAACTTTATATGTGCACTTTGGATATTCTAAGGCATCCACTTCTTTCCCCTTCCAAAACAATGTATTTTGCCAGCTCAGAATAAGTCATTTAGATAAGTACAGGGAATAAAAAATTGAGTATAGAAAAGTATATACATGCAAATTTGATTTTCCCCAGGCCCTTCCTAAGAGCTAAGATATCTGTAAGTATAGACACAAAAATCCATTAGTTCATATTTTATATCTCTCAAATATTCATACTGGCTTCCATGAATATGTAAACAACATATTCATAGAATTTTGAGCTGGAAGAGACCTTAGGAAAAATCTAACCTAACTGCCTCGTGTTGCAAGTGAAAAAATAGAAAATCAAGGCCCCGAAAGGAAAGTGAATTATATGAGGAGAGAGTAAGAGAAGTTTTACTGGCATCTCAAAAACAAAAACTTCTGCTTTTCATATATGTATACAAAATTTAACCCAGCACTGAGAAAACAGAAGTTACTAATAAACTCAGTAACTTAGGGAGAAAGTGACTGCCACATAGAGTTTAAAAACTGTATCTGTATTTTTACAGTCATTCATATGAGCAATTCATTTCTAAGGCTAAAATTAAATTTAAGAACAAAGAGGAAAAACATGATTATTTTCCAAGTACCTTTCTCCTACGGTAGAAAAGATCCAACTTAACTGGGGAAACAGTGAGCACTTCAGCTCTTCTCACTTTGTAGCCCAGGCTGGCCTCGAACTCGCAAGAATCCTCCTGCCTCAGCCTCCCAATTGCTGGGATTACAGGCATGCACCACCACGCCCAGCTATCATCTCTATCTCTATCTCTATCTCTATCTCTATCTCTATCTCTATCTCTATCTCTGTCTCTGTCTCTGTCTCTATCTCTATTCAGTATACATCTCTGAAGTAAATTACTCACAGAAGTCAAGGTTTAACTGTATCACTGCTACCACCTACCCATCCCTCAATCAAAATTCCAAAGTTGCAGTTTTAAAAGCAACCCCCCCTCCCCTCACACACACACACACACACACATACACACTTACTCACATACACATTGCTGCCACCAACACTATTTCAGCATGTTCCAGGGAAAGTATACATTAACTGTCTAAGTTCTTCTTCCAATAATAAAGTGTATAAGAATAAATGTAGGACCCCCATTGTGTTGCCTGGGTCTTATAACAGTATCAGAAGTTACATTAGCTAAAATGGTCTATCTAGAAATAAGAAAACATTTAATGTGAAGTGAAGAATTTCAAATATCTGAGCACCCCTCATTTTTTGTACCCAGAGTATACATGAGTCTGTTTTGCGAGCAAACAGCTAAAACATAACATATAAGTTTTTGCTTCCACTTCTGCAACATCGCTACAGAACGCTAATTCTCTCCCGGAGATCAGCTCACCCTTATTAGTGTTCTGGAAACCAGCTTTCAGCTTTGCTTCCCAGCTCTGTTGCAGAGGTGCTGGATAACTTGCAGAAAGGAACCTGCTTCTTCTCACATCCCCTGCGTACTGATGGTGCAAGGTGGTCCTGGACACCAGCAGGCTCTACATTTGCATTTTACCTTTTGCTCTCTCCTGTCCAGAGAGCCCTTGTGCACTTGGCTAGCCTTGTCAGGAGCATGTGTTCTGTCTTTATCAACCCGTGAGGAAGGAAACACAGAGCACTGAGGTCATTTGAAATATACTCTCAGGGCTCACAAGCCTGGTGAGTTCACTCAGCTGTTCTATTATTGGTTGCTTTGCTTGCTTTCTTCTCAGAAAAGCCTTATTCCTGTCTGTGTCTTGAGCATCCTGCCGTGCAGACATTACTCTTCTCCTATATACTCTCCCCAAGCACCTACTTCAATTCTACCCAAAGGATCCCTCACAGAGAAGTAAGTTATGTGCTGGTGAGCAGAGGGCAGCTGTGTTGCTGTCCTCACTGGCCTGCAGGCTTGAGCACCACACCAGCTGCATGTCTGGAATTTGGGGACACAAGTACTTTCTGTGGTTCAGTGATCATGACCACACACACTCCCACCAGCCTATGTGCAGAAAACCCCCACTTCCTGTAGGCAGAGACAAGCCCAGGCATTTACTAGGACTCTTCATCTTATCCTGGTTTAATTTATCTGTCATGGCCACCAAAAATCAAAGTCTCTACTATTTGGCACCCACCAGGGGAAAATACCCCTAACCCAAAGCAGTCATCCAGGGGAACAAGAATTATCAGAGCAGCCCCAACAAAGGAACCTGGAGAGACTATAGATTTATTTTCATTTCAGTGGCACTGCTACAGTAAAGAACATTCTTTAAAACCTAGTGACATTTGTATAGCTGAGTCAGTAAATAAGAAAGAGAAAAAAGAATGTAAAAAGCAGGAAGTATGGGATGAAAATAAAGAGATTCAAAATGGAAAGACTATTTTAAGAGTAGAAAACTACTAGAGATTGGCTCACTCACTACATCACATGGTGGGAATATACAAAGAGATGTCTTTAAATTGTGATTGGTAGAGGCAGGCTGTGAGAAAAAAACTTCTGATTAAATTATTGGATTGAATATGTGGGCATGTAGGCACACACACGCATTACTGCCTTTAAAATGCAAGGTTAGCTGTGCAAAAGAGCTTAATATTGACACCTTTAGCATTTTTAAAAGCCAACCTCCCTAAGTGTCTATGGAGTTTATGAATACCATAGCAAAGTATAACTTCTCTCTTATTTCCTTTTTAGCCCAAGACTGTATAGCAGTGTTTCAAAACTTCCAAGTGACAGCTGATCAAGGAACACCAGGATTCTTTCATTGCAAAGAAGGAGAAAAAAAATCTATGAGAAGTTATCTCTGCCTTGTCTTTCCTGTGCCTTAGAACCACCACCGCTAAAAAGGACAGACAGAAAGGTGCTTGACCACACTTAACACTCACTTGCAGTGGTGAGAGAGACTCAACAATTTGGGCATTAGATTATTTCCAAATGACTGCAGCTGTTGCAGTGCCATCAGCATGAGCTGGAGGGAGAAAAGTACTCAGAGGTGCATCTTACCTGGGGAGCAGAGAAGTGCAGGCAGATGTAGGTGAGGCACAGGAGCAGCCCCAGCCCCTGAATCACAGAGGTCAGCAGCAGTAGCTTGTTCCACTGGAATCTTGGCCTGGGTGTGCTTCCCACATTCTCATCCAGGGGTTGACCCCCTTCCATTTTCATAATCTGGATGCAGGGAAGATGCAGCCGTGGCAAAGAGGAACTTGGGGAAAGCCTGATGTCTTCCCCACAGAGGAGGAGATGAGGCCAAAGCAAAGCCTCTCAATCAGAAGACAAAGGTCCCAGGACCTGAGACAAAAGGCGATTGAAAGAGCAAAGAGGACTCTCTCAGTTTTAACTCTGCAACTTCTGCAGGCAGGCGGGGGAACTTCTTTGTGACTAATCTGAATTTCCCCTTTACTTTCTTTCTTTTTTTTTTTTTCCCTCTGGGCTAACAGGGAGTTGTTTTTGTGGCATTCCAGTTCTGATTTGAGTGACTGTGAAATGACAGTCATACAAGTGTGCTATTTTCTTAATTTCTCATTACACCAGTAACCAATCTGTGGGTCACTTGATAAAGATAAAGATCATCATCCGTTGATGTAGAAGCTCACACATCCCTTCCTCGAAGTATTTTACGTGATGCAGGAAATTTCAGGAAAATATTGTTCCAAAGTCCTTGTCTCTGCTGTATTATGTAACTAAGTCCTGAGCCCATTTTATAGGTTTAGAAATAAATCACACACGGGTCATTCTTGAAATGAAAAAGACAAAAGAAGAAAATAGGATGATGGATTATGTGGAAATAAAGATAGAGTGATCCTCTAGCTACATTGTCCACTACATTAAAATAAAGTAGCATTATGGAGCATTGCTGTGTCAGATTCTGTGTTAGACAAAATTACCATCTTTTGATTATTTAATCCTTTTAGGAAAGTGCAGTAAACACTTATATATTTAACTTTCTGTAAGGAAGAAAATTCTTGTTTTCCCCCTTCCAGCTACTTTATAGTTTCTGCATGCAAAATTTTTGCATAGATTCAAATAACCCATGAAGATTGTTCTTTTCTTTGAGATAACAACCAGACTCAAAACTTGCAAAGTAAAAACATTCTATCAAGAAACTCCATTTTCCTTTCATCATGGAAATAAACAATGAAGTAAAATAAATGCTAACATTATAATGCCAAGTTCAAATTGGCAATTTTTTTCCAGTACTGGGGCTTGAACCCAGGGCTTTGCTCATGTGAGAAAACCATTTTACCACTGAGCTACACCTTCATCCCTTTATATTTTTTATCTTGAGATATGGTCTTATTATGTTGCCCAGACTGAGTTCAAACTTGCAGTCCTCCTGTCTCAATCTCCTGAGCAGCTGGAAATACAGGCATGGTCTACTGCACCCAGCCAAATTGCCAAAATATTTACTGAGTACATTAGTGTTGTATTGTACAACATAGAACTGTTGAGAATTCTTCCATGGAAAAGTATGTCTCCCTGAGCTCCCCACAGAGCCCTTAACAGATATCTAGGGAAAGAGGAATATTTTAGATATCAGCAATATGAGATATTCTACATGGCTTTGTTGTAGGAAAAATAGATATAAAGCATATTCAAAAAAGTAGTAAATAGAAAATAATGTGGTGCAGTATTAATCAATTAAAATTAAATTAATACCTTTGTTACAATTGTGCATTGCATTTAGGGAACATGTTAGTCTTCAGAAGGTCACGTTTTTATCCAAAAGATATGGTAACTAAGGTAACTATATCGTAGACATGAAGCTAAAGCTAGAAATTAAGTTCCATCTAAGCAGCTATGTAATAATTATTCCCTTGAGCACAGTACATGCAACATACATGGTATGAAGACAGAAACTGAAAAACAAATCAAATTTTTATTGACGCTTAGTAGTCATAAACAAGCAACAGAATCAGTAACTACTTACTCAACTATTTTTAAAAAGTGACTAAAAGAGGCAAAAGCAAAAAAGTCTAAAAATACTGACAGAAAATAGACACAAGCAGAAAAGGAGTAGTTAAAATTATTCATACTGAAAATCACAGAAAATATTTTATAATGACTGCTAAAAAGGTGAAAAAGATAAACATGTGAAGGACACAAGCTAGTACTTTGCATAGCACTCCTCTCTGTTACCATCATGACTTCTAGAAAGAAAAATTGACAAATACTGTTTTTCTTTATAAACAGTAAGAACTGTACAGAAGAATGAATTTCAATTTTGTGCTGTCCCAAGAAAACCAACATTTAGGCCTCCACATCTATGGCACACCTTTTGGAGAGAGGAGGGGATGCTGGGGATGGACTGTAGGGCCTTCTCCCTGAGCTACATACCTGGTTCTTTTCATTTATTTTAAATTTTGAAAGAGGGTCACTTTAAGTAGCTAAATTGTTCAGATTAGCCTTGAACTTGTGGCTTCCTTCCTTAGCCTCCTAGAGTGCTGGGATTACAGGCATGTTCCACCATGCCCAGCTCAATGGCACACTTCTTATTTCCCTCCTCAGACTCTGAGTACTGTGTTTTGCCTAGTGTAATTTCTGGGGTGTAAGAGATACCAAATTGTTTCTTTTCTACTGACCACACTGTCTCAGCTTTTTCACTTTTTTTGTAGGGAGAGAATATATACAGACCGCACACACACACACACACACACACACACACACACACACACACATACACACACACACGGAGAGAGAGGAACTGGGCTGGAAGTTCCAAGTGAGACATCTTGATAGACCATATGAGCACTTCAAAGTTCATCACTCGGCTGCTCTAGCGGTGGAACACCACGGAAGAGACCATCTGAGACATCACTGATGGCATTTAAGTCTCAGGCACCACCACCAGAGATATTACTGATGGCATTTTAAAGCATCTCATACTGATCAAATACATATGAGGTGTGATAAAAAAAACATGGAGTGTGTTTAAATGTTTAAAACTTTACTGCAATAAAAGATACATTGCCATTATACCCCATCCCCTTACTTGGAACACTTATCCCATTGCTCTTACCATTTTCTGAAGCAATTCTGGAGGTCCACTTGTGTGAGTGTCATAATTACATGATTATCACGGCTGGCTTGATGTTCTTAGTGGATTCAAAATGTTTACCTTGCATGGTCACTTTAAATTTGGGGAAAATCCCGAGGTTGCGTGGTGCCGTATCCAGTGAATCAGGTGGGTGAGAGCACACCACAGTGTTGAAGCCTGCCTTTCCCTAGATGACATTCAGCAGCTGCATTCACTATACTTCTGATTATACCTCACAAAGACCCTCATAAAAGAGGGCTTCCAGAGCTGCTTCAGAAAGTGGCAAGAATTATGGGATAAGATAAGTGTGTTTGAAGGAAGAAAGGTATTTTGAGGGGAATGAATGGTACTTTTTTTCTGTAGTAGCTTTTCCACAAATTTTTTAATATCTACCATATTTTTCAATCACCTCTCATAAACCAGAACAAACTAACCTTGGAATAAAACTTTAGAAAGAAAAATGAGTGAATTATCTTTCCATACATAATCAACCTTCTAAAGGAATAGCCATTTCATGACTAAAATTCTATTAACTAATAGAATACCTCATGTTCGGAAGGTAGCAAAAACTTTTGGGGTTTTTTTTTTGAGGGTTTGGGGATTTTATTGTTGTTTTGGTTTTTTTGCTGTTTGGGGGTTTTTGTTTGTTTGTTTATTGGCAAAATCTGCACCACATCCACACATGTTCATTCAGCAAGCCTGAGGCCAGTGCCTATATCCTGATGCTGGGGAAAGGACATATATGAAACACATCCACAGTTTCCAGAACAGGAAAGCAGAATGTCCACAACCTCAAAAATCCTGAGGCTGAGGTGTCACAGCCAGATGGGAGAGTCACAGGGTCAAGTATTGATGTAGGCTGGAACTGACGCAAGGATAGCTTCCTTGACATGAGTCAGGTTAATCTTTAGGAAATCAGAAGAAGTCTGGTCGCCTGGGAAAGAGAAAGGGCACTGGGGCAGGAGTGGACAGATCTTACTTGTGCCTTCAGGGAACTGAGGAGGGAAGGCTCATGAAGGAGCGGGCCTGCCCCAAAGAGCTGCCCCTCAAGACTTAGAACTGTATTCTCAAGGAGTTGGGGAAACACAGAAAAGTTTGAAATTGGATATGATACTATTGCTTTGAGAACACATCATTCCAACTGAATGCCATGAAAATGGCAGGGTGGGATCAAGGTGAACCAGCTGGGAGACTCCCTGGGATTCTGTGTCAGCTGAGGGACCAGGAGAGAGCTAAAATCCCACCCCTGCATTCAGCTTCCCAGTGCTTTATCCTGGCAAGGGAGCCTTCCTCCTACCAGAAGCCAGAGATTTATCTTTTCACAATGCTGTGCTCTGCTTCCACACCCTGAAAAAGGTGCTGCACCCATGCAAACTAAGCCTCTTTTTCTAATTCATAAACCCAGAGAGAGGGCACCTTATTCTACTTCACACAAAAACAGCAGTATGAGCTAGGGCTGCCCTTGGGCTTGCAATTATTTAAATGAGAAATAATAACTCTGTAAACTAAAGTAGTGAAATGAATGAGGAGAGATGATAATTTGCCATGGCTCTTCATTCATCCAACATTTTGAGTGTTTCTGAGCTTACACAGGGAGTTTTATCAAAGCTCTGCCCGGGACAGGTGATAGACTGATGTGAGAATTGATGGAAACAAACACAATTTTAAGTGTCAAAAGGCTGATTTGCCCTCTGCTTTCTTAACTTTCTCTTGATCTATACATTACTGTCCTGGCTAATGTTTTTATCACTTGGTAACCTCAGAATCCCAGAATCAAGTTTAACTCTTCTTTTGCCTCAATAAGCCAAACTTTACAGAGCTCTCCTTGCCCGTACTTTTCTTCTCTTTGCCGATCTTCCTGCTTCTGATCCAAGTCCTTATTGCTCCTCATTGTTCTAAATTAAATGTTCTATCGTTCTCTCAGCTTCTATTCTCATCAATCTCCAACTGATTCTGTCCCGGTAGGCTTCTCACACTCCGTCAGATCACGATCCTGTCAAGAGTTTCCATCAGATAAAGGAAAGAGTTGGAATTCTTTAGCTCAACATTTTAGTCACTCCCTAAGAGATCCCAGGTTTCCTCTTCAAACTTATTTCCTTCAATTTCTGATATTCACTCTGACTCAGAA